AGACGATAAAGCCGAATTTTCCAAAAATCGTCTACTGCTTATTATTATTTTTTTTTAGAAAGGCGTTCAAAACACATTGAGCCGTATTCATAAAAGAGAATTATATCCTCGGAGGCATAAGGTAAAAGTATAAGGTCTAGCTTCGGAGAAAAAGGTAGAAGTATAAGCTTATTCTTGTTTTCATATTCATAATGATTACCTTATACTCACGAGGATGTCCTCCAAGAAGAAGTAAAAGGTTGACTGGTATTTGTATCTTGAGCGACATGTAATGACTTGTTCCAGCTTGTAGTTGACATGGGAGTTCGTTCACTAAGCATCACTGGCAGTTGTACTCCAGAGCTTACACAGACCGTTCCATATTTTTACTGGATACAGTCTTTTATCAAATCAATAAGCATGTCATCCTCACGTGATGAGGAAACTATAGAAAATAATGGCAAAGACCTGCAGATGAAATTGCCATTGCCATTATTTTGCAAAGGTCACAAGTTCCAAAAATAAAAATGAGAAAGGACGATGCCTTGAAGTAAAAATAAATACGAATAAACATTCGGTAAACCATAAATAAATAAAACAACAACATGGAATCGGGATTGAAGAAAAAAACAGATCTAAAAAAACCGGTAATAAAGCAGTAAAATTGCTAGCTTGGGAAAGAAAGTTGCTGAAAGCTATGGAAGGTGACTATAATCCTACAATTGGGAAAATTAGAGGTGCCATACAGATTGGTAGTGTTCAAGAAGAAGGAAGTGAACTATATACCGAGCACAGTGAGCAAACAGTTGGTATTACAACGCCCACAAAAAGAAAAGTTAGCAACAGAGAAATACGAAACTGAGGAAACCAAAGGGTTAACTACAAAAGAACTGCAATGTCTAGTGCTATTACAGCAGTACCAAACAAGTATTCTACAACAAGAGTATTATAAAACGAAATTAGAAATGACGCAGCGTCAGAAGCCACCTGTAACTTATGATGTTCACGAAAATATAACTTATTATAACATAGGAATACACCTTAATCAGTAAAACTATTTATTATAATACTCAAGTTTCTTCTTATTTGTTGACCTAGTTGGCAAAGAGGAAGTTCGTCATTCTCATGATTTCCTTCATCTTCATCCGGGTCTTGTTCAACTACCTCAAAGTCAGGATCGCCGAAGCTCTTCGCAACATTGTGGAGTACAATAGAAGCAATAATTATTTTCGAAAAATTTTCCAACTTTACGCGGCAAACATACTGTAGGATAGGAAACCGGCATTTCAGTTGGCCAAAACAGCATTTAATTATAACTCTTGTTCTAAAAGCTTATTATAATTTATTTCTTCACCTGGAGTAGGATTCTGAAGGGGGTCATGGGGCATGGCTCAATACCATAACCGTCATCGCCAAGTACTACAACATTTGCTTTATTTATTAGTTGTGATCTAGTCTGTGAATTTCTCCATATTCTGGAATCATGCACTGATCCAAGCCAACTCATCTCAACACTTGTGAACATCTCTCTTGCGTCACAAGTGGCTTGCACATTTAAAGTAGGTTTCCCTTTTCGGTTGATATACTCATCTCCATGGCGATTTGGTTTCGGGATTCCTATGTGTGTACAATCAATTACACCACTTTCTGTCGTAAACTTATACATGCTTTGCTATATCCACTTGGCCTCCATCAGTTCATGGTTGGTAGTTGGAAATTTGATCAATTCATTCGACTGAGCAACTATGCTGTCCACAACTCTTTCCACAGTCCTAGATACCGTATCTTGACTAACACCAAGTTCGTGACCAACACCTTGTTGATATCCAGGATCACCGAGATAGTCACGACCAAGTGAAGGTAAACGAGGTTTGTACGTTTTAACATCCCTAACATCCAAAATTTCCACCATCATCGTTTGACCACCTTTCGTTACGAAGTTGAGTCAGCTACTGACCACACTCAGAATTTTTGCAGGATATGCTTCCTATGCTAGGTATAAGGTGAAGATTATGAATATCCTTTTACTTGTCACTGCTTTGAAGGATATGCTTATACTCAAAAAGCAAAAGCATTTACTTCAAATTATTATAAATACCATCTGGAGGATTTCCTTCAAAATTTGCAAGTGCAAGGATATCCTTTGTTTTATGAAGACGGCTCATTGCATATTAACATTCCTAGTTTTTATCCCCTACAGTATAGCATCATTGAAATATGAATATGATCTTTCGTGCCCCGTTGTTTTCTTATATGGTATATTTTTGCACAGATGGACAGGGTTCTCAATTCTGGATCCAAAAATGTTATTGCAAACCAATTTCCTAGGCCTTGAAATTATCACACGGTTATAAGTCTAACATTCTTACAGTTTTTACAAACTAGGAATAGATTAAAAGGATATATTCCCGATCTAAACGATGTGTTATTGACATTATAAAACTTCTAACGCCTGAAAAACAATATTCTCACAGTTATTATTATCCAGTCGAATAAGGAACGTAGCGCCAAGACAACGCAAGGGTAATAGTGAAAACACTGTAAGCAGTATAATTGATAAGAAATCATTAGGGACATTTTAGACTGAATCCAAGCATCGACGGACGCTACATATTGCTAAATACATTCCATACTTACCATATGCGAACTGATTACATTCAAATAATAATATACGGCTGTGGTATCATGGGGTCCATCATTCAAACTAATGCTTGTTAAGGGTCGAGAAATGAAAAAATCATCTAAATATCATCAAAACGCTTCTCAAACAGGGCAGCAATTTATAATTGTTGGTGTAACCGAGTAAAAATGTGAGAAGCTATCATTTTCAAAGCAATTTTGTTGAGATTCTTTAGGAGTACCAATCCTACGAATTTGAAGAATTTCAAATTTCTGCGAGAGATCATCGCCGCTTTACCAACAAGTGCCAGAACCGCTTCGGTTTCCGGCAGTAACTTTTTTGCTATTAGTCGGATCTTTTTACGTGTGGTCCCATTTTGTACGTATCATAAATACCTAAAAATGTTATATGAAAAGTTTTATCGTTCGTGTCAAAATTTTCGGTTGAATCGCAAAAAGCACGTTTTCTCATTCTTTGTTGTCAAATAAACAGTTTTCCGACAAAAATTGCTGTACCCATTTTATGCGTCCATGTTTTAAATACCCCCTTAAACAACTGGCACCCATAAAACCAGACTTTACAATTATTTCGGGGAAATTTGCTAATATGATTAGACTATTACTACTAAAGGCGCAAAAGCTGTGTAGTTTTTGAAAATCGGTCTTGAAGAAAAAAAGCCAAAAACTAAAAAGGATCCAAGACGCTAAAAGTTTTGTTTTTTGAGGTTCAAAAGGATCCTGATCACTTCTGAAAAAAAATGTAGAGGCAAAAAACTTGGGGGTGGGGAATGTAAGTTTGTGGGAGGGTTTATCTCAGTTTTTGATGAAACTTTGGTCTCGAAATCGCTGTATATGACATATCATATGTTTTTTTAATTATAAGAACTATTTATCTGTGCAAAAATCCAATAAACCCTCTATAAGAAAAAATAAACTCCTTTTATGATAACAAGAGACGAAATGCCTTATGAAATTATACACCTCAAGGAGGACAAACAGTGGCAATGTTGATATGCAATTTATTTTACAATATCTTCTCAAATAAGGTCAGGAAAATTTAAAGATGGTTTTCAAAATATTCGATTTTTCTTCGTTCAAGTCCGAGAATATTGTAAATTGGGGAACTTCCTAAGTCCACTTCACAAAAATGCGAATTATGGTGCTATTTAACAGACTTCATATCGGTAAGAATACCATTTCGTGATTCTCTTACTGGAAGTAGAATTATATATACATATATATACGTATATATACAGGGTGACTTCGAAGTTGAGTCATTTATTTTAACAGTGAGTAGATCTGATCAAAAGAAATGTTTTTTTCCTTTACCATTTTTCTGGTAAAATTAAAGTAAAAAAGTTATAGCCCTTTGGAAGTTTGAGTATCGCCCTGTCTCAATAATATCATGTGCTCGTGTTTGGCAACAACGGATATAATCCGCCTTATCGGTTCATCGCATCGGAAACAAAAAAGCGAAAGAATTTGGAACGATGTTTTTACAATTATTTTATTCAGTTGTATATATACAGTCAGTGTCAGTCGGTAACGCGTGTGAATAGTGGTGTATGTTGCGTGGCTCAAACGAAATAAAAAATGGCACATGTTTATGCGGATCGGTTTCCCAATCGAGTGCAACCAACCCCTCGTGCCTTTGTTAATGTAGTACAACGGGCTCGTGAATCAGGTAACTTAAGACCTGACAGGGGACCTCACGATGAAATACAGGTCCGCACTGAAATACTTGTCGGGAGAATACTTTATAAAACAAGGTAAAGCTTTTTTTTTAATTTTTTTTTTATTTTTACACACATATTTTGGTTTATCTTCCTTCTACAATCATTATCTGAAAATTAAAGACTCAACTTCAAAGTCACCCTGTATATATATGTATACATACTTAATTTTTGATGCTATCAGAAGTATCGGCTGTATGTCTCCTCGATTTGGTTAGGTTATTGCGTCTGCTACCCAATATTCTCTATACCAAAATATTTGATACTAGAGAATCTGTTTCCAATACCCTAAAGTATACAGTTCTCATACCGGTAAAGTAAGACCCCGCAGAAAAAGGTTTCTACCGGGGTTGCGTAGGCAGATAAAGTAACACCACTTACACAAAAAACGTGGGATCAGTTGTTCATTACATTTACAAATGAGCAGTATCACCGATTTGTTGTCTCCATCCTCCAAGAATACATCCATAATAATTAGTGAGAATTTCCCGGTGTCTTACTTTGAATACAGAAGAGCTGGCGTTCTCGAAACAAGCGCGGCAGTGAAGAACTTTTTGCCCGGGCAAAGCTCCCCGTACAGATTGTACTTATGATAGCACGGCATGAATATTCAGAAGCACCATACATGCTTTCTCCTGATTGTTCTACCCCTTAAAAGCTTAACAAAGCGCCGGCTCTCACTCGTTTACTTTCTTGATTATTGTACAGAACTACACTGCTCTGTTCCAGCTTGAATAATTATCGCTACGTTTCTGATGACTTTCTTAGAGCTGTTTGGGGACTTTTGCTTCTGCCGAATACTATTCGTGCATCTGGTATGCTGAAAAAGAGGTGGAAAATGAAATAAGTTGATTATCTCGGTACTTTCCAGGCTTGAATATAAATTGTGAAATGCAAAGTAATTATGGTAAATCTCTATCCGATACATGAATCTGGACATGATACGCCTATGCATTGGCCCAAAGTTCCGCTGTATTTCTTGAACCTAAAAGTCAAAGTTGTAACATGAACTACACGAACATCAAAGTATATGTGCAGTTCCAAGTTGTATTTCTGGTGACATAAAACGCCACCAGGGAAGTCAACAGCATGCATGCCTTGAATTTATTTCACCCTAAGATGTAACATGTATATTTGGGCATTCAGTTGTATGTGTATTTGTTGAAGGCCAAGTTATCAGAAGCCCATGTCTACTCCACGCAGATTACACTAACTGCCACATATTTTTGCCGGAAGCAACTACGTGAAGAAATAACATAAAAATATCGTAGTTCAAATGTACAGTTTATTTTTTGCGGTTTCTCTAAATCTAGTGTCCAAATCTGTTTTTGCTCTGGTTTTTCAGACTGACATTTCAACTAAAGAATGTATTTTTGAGAAAATGTGTATTTTATTACAATCAATGAATTGTTAAAAGAAATTACTGCAAACAAACTGTTAAATAAGGACGATTGCTTATATCTACTTCAACAAAAACGAACGAATATCAAATGAACTATAATACTATAGTCCCTAAAAAGTAAAATATAAGGATGCCTTCACAGTTCGAAAACATTGCATCCATCAATACAAAATGATGAGTTTAAGAAGAAAATAAAATCAAAAATAGTAAGTAAGTAAATTCTTTACAAAGTACGTACACCTACCTACCATTTCCCAAAACTTCCACCCCACACAATTCTGTAAAGCATCCTCCCTGTAAGCCACATTTAAATGATAATAATATCCTGCAAGCTTCTGCGGCTATCAAATTATAGCAGAATTGCATATTATCTTGCCTCGCCTGCTTCTCCCAATAATAAAAATCAAAAGTACAGGCGGTCAGTACCATTCATAACACAATGTATTTTTCTTACGCTCAATATGTATGATTTATTGACTTGTTAAGGTACGACAGACGTCGGTAGGCATATATAAATTATTATTTAATGATGGTACTAACGACTTAGCTTTCAAAAGTTGAACGAACGACTGTAAAAAGTAAAAATGTTTGCTGTAACCGCCTGAATACAAATGACATTAACGAGAATGTGTACATAATAATAAAGTTCTTGATCGTTGGACGGAACTATGACCATTGTGTGCTGGTGGATCGTGAAACGTTGACGACCTAGCCGCTCGTTTGAGATGCTGAATTCGATGCAAATACACAGAGCAACGTAGCAGTAATTCAGATTGCTATATGGAAATCAAGGGCAGATCGAAGTCTCAAGCTAAGAGTGAACAGCAATTGCGTGCTTCTTGGGAAGAAGGTGTTGCGAGCTTCAAAAGTTTCTAGTATGGCTACAGTACTGTATGTGAACATTGATTTACGCAAAGACTCATGACCAAAGCTCAATTTCAGCTTTTACCTGCAGGTTTCCTTAATTCTATCCAAATGAAACTACCAAAACCGTATGTTTACTTACTGATATGCAAAGAGAGCCACGACTTAACAAATTAGCAAATAATTTAAAGGTATAGTTATAGGATACACAGATAGTATTTATTTCACCTGTCGCCTAAGCGAATAATTTTAAAAATATTGCGATACTCTTCTCTACGACAACGCATATTGTAATCTCAATAAAGTCAATGTAGTAGTTAGTTACATCACGCAATAACAAAAAGTTACCAACACCTACAAAATTTCTCAAATCTCTACGATTGCAATACTTCCCTAGTCTAATAACTATAGTCATACCCGTATTAATGGATCATGAGATCGGACAAATTTTTTAAAAATAAACGGCACAAGCTAGACTAAACACCCTTTCAAAAGGATGATTATTTGCTGTGAGACTGCCGACTATCTAATCGCCCTGCTTTGAGAGTATACTACTTATTCAGATTAGTACACAGATGTACGCCTATATTGAATCTTGAAAGGTGATATTAAGGTCACAATCAAAGTAAAAACTAAAAAGCTAGGTTAAAGTTATATCTGACAATGTATCCATAATAACCTTTTACGGGTTACATCTGCAACTAGAACACAAGGTGAGCTTGCACATGAAATTCTCTCAGATTTTGTCACAATTTTGATATTGTATTTCAAGTAGAGATGTTTCCGATGATATAAAATATTTGCAAAGGTGTCCTATCATAAATCTTCATATTACGGATTTAGGGAGGAGTATCATTCGAAGCAGACTTATTTCCTCAAAATTATCAATTTCTGCGATACCGATGTCCATATTTTACATTTCAGACTAATTAATTTGAAATTCTCGAATTTCAAGGTGTCAAAGCCAAGACATATTTTGGGCTGGAAACTCTACCTCCTGCAAAGAAGACACTCGACTTATCTTTTAGCTATTTAAGTTACTCTCAAGATTCAAGTGCAACAAAAGTATTGGGATTAAGGAATTAGCTTAGCTTGAAGTTGACCTTAGCAACGCGGTGCAACCGGGCATACGCCCTTCCTTTCATTTATTTTTCCTTCAACTGACCTAGTAGGGCAAAACTTGAAAAACCAACGCAAAGCCACTTATTTTCTGAAGTATTTGGTTAGAAGAAAGTAGTATGTTTCTTATAAAGGTAGAGCTTTCCAGTTTCTTGAAATACAGAAAGAAATATTTGTGACGCAGTAAATCTGGATCTTACTTCGCTTTAATCCAACGTCACATCGTACACGTCACCATAAATATGCACTTATGCTCCTGATTCTTATCCATGGTCGCGCTAGGATTGCAAAGTTTAGGTGTCGTCTGGACTATACTTACCATTTTTCTATTGTTCGTGGCAGCATAATGTTAATAAAAATAGTTGGAAAAAACATATTTCTTTGTGATTATACAGGGTTATCCAAATTAAGTGTCCACCATTAGTAACTTTGTTATTAGTGAAAATACAAAGTTGTTTGAATTAGCAAACTAGTAGCATTTTTAACGCTGGTAAAAATGAGAAATAAAAAAAACAATTGAGAGTCGTTATTTTGATTTTTTTCAGTAAAATAACATTTTTTTAAATGGAAACCCCTGTATATTATATTTTTTTCTGTTAAAGCATCAAATTTTAAACAAAAAAGTCCATAATGACTTTTCCGCTAAAGTCAAAAATAAAGTCAAAATAACGATAAATATTTTTAATTATTTGCAGTATTATAATATTAAGACGGCTATGAAAACAACATGGCGTTCGCGATTTGACAGCATTAAGATAAGCGACAAATTGTTAAACTGGACATACTCGCAACTAGAAGGCTTTGGAAAACAATGATAAAATCAAATAATGTCAAACATTAGTGTAAATACTTGTTTATAAGCTTTATTGTGTCATTAATTTAAAGAAAAATGTTCTCCCATGAAGAAAAGTGTGATATGTTAGAATGCTATTTAGTGTGCAGAGAATCCTCCTTGAGAGCAAGAGAATACTACAGTGAATTATATCCCGCTCGCATTCAACCGTATGAACGATATTTTCTGAGACTTTATCGAAAATTTAGGGGCAACGAAAATGTTTTTGCTAAAACAAGGGCAAAAAAAGAATTCATAATAAGCGAGGCCACGGAAATTGCAGTTATTGGATATTTTGAAGCTTATCGTGAGAATTCAATAGCAGATATTCTCAAGTACTCTAATTTTAGTTATGGTACTGTTCAAAGGATTTTAAAAAAATACAAATTTATTCCGTATAAGTACCGACCAGTTCAAACGCTTTTGGCAGGGGATCCAGAGAGAAGACTTGTTTTTTGCCATTGGTATCTTAGCTTCTGTCGCCAAAATGTAAATAACTTTCGTTACCTTTTATGGACAGATGAATCAAATTTTTCAAATTCTGGAATGTTTAATAGAAAAAACCACCATTCTTGGTCAAGAGAAAATCTTTCGTTAGTACATCCAAGAGGCCCACAAGTCCGTTTCAGTTTCAACGTTTGGTGCGGTATAATTGGTTCAAAAATTGTTGGCCCGTTCTTTTATGAGGGAACCCTAACTGGTGAAAGATATGTGATAAATTCCGACTAATTTCTTAGACGAATTGGATCTTATAAGTAGACATCATCTGCATTTTCAGCAAGATGGCGCACCTGCCCACAACTCCAGAGGTACTTATCATTTTCTAAGTACTACTTTTAATGATCAGTGGATAGGAACAAATGGCCCAAGACAGTGGCCTCCCAGATCACCAGATCTAAACCCTCTTGATTACTTCTTGTGGGGTTACTTAAAGAACCAAATTTACAAGCGAAGGTACGATAACCTTGACGCGTTAAAGACTGCAGTTAGGGAAAAGATAACCCAGATAGATGGTAGGACCATACTTAAGACAGTTCGAGCAGTTGAAAAACGTGCCCAAAAATGTATTGAAGAACAAGGTGGTGTTTTCGAGCATCTTCTTTAAAAAAAATTGTTATTGTATTTTGTAAGATTATAAGTTGATGTTGAAAATAAAGTTTGTCGATACAATTTAATTGTTTCAGATTGGAGGCCATAACTTCAACAATTTGTCACCTAGGAGAAAAGTTATTGTAAGCTTTTTTGTTTAAAATTTGATGCTTTAACAGAAAAAAATATAATATACAGGGGTTTCCATTTAAAAAAATGTTATTTTACTGAAAAATAACGACTCTCAATTGTTTTTTTTTATTTCTCATTTTTACCAGCGTTAAAAATGCTACTAGTTTGCTAATTCAAACAACTTTGTATTTTCACTAATAACAAAGTTACTAATGGTGGACACTTAATTTGGATAACCCTGTATAAGACCAGTTCCAAATGAATGACGATGATAATGAACACGTTACTGGGCAAAAATGTGTCTTGTGTGGAACTTTGCTACTTTTTGTTATATACCTTTCTCCGCATGATTATTTTCACTTTGTAGATCCTTTGGGATTGA